ATTAATGCCCAAAACGAAGTCAAGAACAGTTGTACAGCGCTTCGTATATATATAGCGTTAGCGGTTATAACCTTCTGGAAGTTCTGACGCGTTCTGGATGCGCCATTGGCAACCGGCACTTGACCAATACTGGGTCATGATTGGCTGTTGGGTCCAGATTGTTGACCAATCAGATCTCGTCTTGATGCCGGACCGGCAAGCGTCTCGATTTTTGGCTAATCTTGCGTGGGATAGGCTTCTCAGGCGTAACACCACCTGACTGCGAGCGATAAGGCGGGATCCGCGTGAAATCGCGCCTAACGAAGATGTTGATCGTTCAGCTGTAACACCCTTTTGATGCCTAGCTGTCATATCACTCGAAGGAAATACAAAAACCGAGACACTGCTAGGTTTCCCAGGCTTAAACAGGAGCGGTCGGAATGTGGATGTGGAATCGAACTACGGACCTTCTGGTCAGTAAGTTCGCATCTTAACCACCGAGCCATTTCTATCTGGTTATCATCTTTTACGGTCGGTTGGTGCACGCATGCTTTCTTATCGACGGATGGCTTACCAAACGAGCCAGATAGCCGTTTCTAGTGAAGATTTCCGGCGTAGGTTAAAGCCTCTTTGACACCGTCCCGTCCGCGCATACTTTTGCAACTCTCTTGGTTCGCCCTTTGGTTATATTTCGTTTTTTTCGCTCAAGAACCATGTGTGTGTTCCTACCAACAAGCTGTCAAACAGGGCTGTCATTTTTCCGCTGAAGTGTAGCACCTAGTAACGTGACCTGTCTGTCATGAGCTGATTCTTACGTGGTCGACATATCAGGATGCGCGCGCTCGCACCTGTGTTTTGTGCCCATTTAATGCTTGTATTGTGTGTCATACCTTTGGCATGCTTCCAACCGTCTTGTCCGAGAATTAGTGCAACCATCCTTGAAGTCTTCCCCGGGACAAGAGAGCTTCGAACCCCAATGTGGCTGCTGGTCATCGAGTCTGAACATAGCACCGATGGCCAATGGTATCTTGCGTACCGTAGCGTAATATAAAATCACCCCGGTAACTGATACAGACTAGATTTTTTGTTACCACTTACAAGTAGGTTACAGTTCGTGACACGGAAGAAGCTAGGGGACTGGCTTCTCGAATCTTCCTCATCACGAATTCAGTTCACCGACAATGGGCGGGAATCATATTCTGGAAAACACTCAACCCGTCCCGCAGTACAACTCGACGGATTTTGAAGGAACCACGCGGTCAAATTTGGTTCCCCTAATCGGTGTCTTGCCCTAATTGCACAAGGCGATCTGGAACAGGAATTAGTTTAAATTGCTTATTCTCTCCAGACCATACTGCCCCGTATCGATCACTTTACTTTACTCACCCTTCTCCCATTTACCCATAGAAAAGAACTACCCAAATTATGGATTTTGGCTCTACGTTACTTTGCCTCTAAACCAGACTGCGCCAGTGAACTCCAGCAGGTAGTCTCTGGTACGTTGTTTCTTAGTTTTCAATCAAACCCTTTCTTAAAACTGTGGATGCGGAAAACCTGTGACCTGAATTTACTCTATCAAACTTGTGAGAACAAAGGTTAGTGATGATCCCTTGGAAAAGTCAACTCAGAACACAGCTTCTTACGACAATGCACCCTGAGCACCGTCTTTCAAGAGCTTATGTAATCAATTATCTTCGGCACATTCTCCAACCCCCACATCTGGTCCCCCTGTCAGCTGTGTTGCCCTTCCGACTTGGGTGTCACTCAACCTGCCTGCTTTACTTAGAGATGGACAGGCGTACGTTTAAAAGTACTCATTGTACGAACTTATAAGTTCCTGCAACTGGCTTAGACGACCTTCATGACCATCGAGATAGTGATAGCTGAAAAGTACTCGATCCGTCCATATCCATCAGTCTACTCTTTTCGCACTCGCAATCCCAAGCAGGTTCCACAACAATATGCCGAATCTCTTCCATCACAAAGTGACCAGACCTTGTCGTGCTGTGCTCATTTGTTTACCTCAGCAAGTGATTGAGCTCCGTTACCGAATACCTATGCTTCCTAACAGGATATCAAATGATAGGGGCCTAACAAACATAGTCTCATAGCTTTCCAGGTTGAAGTTTGGAACAAATACGGTTGGTTAATTTGGTAGTCTACACCAACATCAGCTACACCGCGGTCAGGCTTTTAAGCCAAAGGCTCTGGTTAAAGGTTTCGATTTTCCATCCGTCCACGTTTGGTTGCTATGGCTGTATCTCAGCCACATCTAGCTGACAAAAATCCCATCTCATCGCATCAACTTTTTGATTAGTTCACCCAGTTCGCCTTGGTGTTCCCCAAGTCTCTCCTGCCCTAATTAGAAATAACTGTCCCAATTATTACACACGTTAACCAGACATCTGCAGAATTGACCAGCGCACTTCGCCGCCCACATCTACTATTGTCCCTTTTTTGTATTTGATGTACAAGCTCTTAAGAAAACAAGTCAGAAAGCTTGACTGGACTACATGTTCGGTACCTTGTCGACAAATATTTACCGCGGTTCCGAAACTCGCTCACGAAATCAAAGTACGGTAATCAGGCTTAGGTTGGCGTCGTTATCTAGACGTTATTGCTGGTCTTTCCAGGGCTGAGGCTTCCTCGCTCGGTTGTCTGCTAGTAAACAGCCTTTATAGAAACTCACTGGTCGAAATACTAAGCAATCTTTGTTTGTAATGCGCCAACCAACTGTGGCCGTGATTCAGCGAACCAGCCTCTTGTCCATTACGAAGCGTTCAGAAGCGTATGAGATGGGCACATTAGTTATTCAAAGACAGACTTCGCTGGTTTGGTTAGTTTTGGTTCTAAAACAGCGGTTGTGCCTAAGCGCACTTCTTGATATGACTTTCCCAAGCTAGTAGGAAAACCATATCTGGCACTTCAAATGTGCTAAAAACATGTACATTGCGTCGTATTTTGCTTATACGCAACGGTAGCACTCTGGAAATACAGCCGCCTGGAAGAAAAAACGCATTCAACAGATGTAGGGATGTGGTGGGCTGTTCGCCACACTTTCGACCAATCAGTGGTCGCCTTGATGCTGGACCATCTGACGACCCGATCTTCTGACCAATCGTGTGCGAGTTATCCTATTGGTCGTTGTTGCGTCTAATGCCGAGCGGTAGGGCGCTTTGGGCCAGAGTTCCGCCTAACGTAGTGACAATTATAAGCATGTTTTACAACTTTATGCGGAGCGCCCGTAGTTTCTGGGTAGTTTTGCATCCAGGTACAGCTGACGCCGTCGTGCTATCCATCGTTTCTCACTGCTCAACAACCAAGAAGCCGAATTGACCACAAAGCCATCTGCTGTAGATGGCCAGGCTGAATTCTTGATGGTCCTTCATTCTGAAATAATTGTGCTGCTCCCGTCTGACGTCAGTAGTGAACATAGACGAAGAATTGAACTCTCCAATCAGCAGTAGAAAATCCCTTGTGCATCGTGCCTCAAACAAACTTACCAAACCTTTCCAAATAGTGCTTGACAGGTGATCTCCTGAAATATAACCACAATTCTACCTGACGCTGGAAACTCTGCATGGATTGTCTCCTCGTGATTACACGGAAACCACTGGTGCACCGAACGGCAGTTGTCACAACTTCTTGTCTTAGCCTTTCGAACTGCAAGCTAAGTGACAAGCTGAAACGAAGCCCATGCTTGGACAAAGGTATTTGATAAAGTCAGAAAGTAAATGAGAAAGTAAATTCATTGGACTAAAAACTCGAAGCTTTTCCGCTCATCTACAAAACAGGATACAAGGGACTTGTTGATAAGCCAGGCAAAGATGGTATTGAAAGTCTGAAATATAGTGAGAACCAATAGGGTCAGACTGTTGGGTGAACTGTGTCGAACCACAGCTCTATATCGTCACTTCAACTGAGCCATGGTTTGTCAACTTACATCCTCCCACGTTTTATGAAGTGCCGATATATCCTTCGGTCTTGGAGCGCCATGGTCCGGATGGGTTTCTGCTAGCTGGCGGTGAATTTTTATATCAAGCTTTGGCTGAGTTCTTTGGAACTTAGTGGGTAGAATAATTCATCCCAGGAAACTGGTACTAATCACCCATCGTAGCTCAATTTAGAAAAGCCGCCCTTAAGAGACTCTCCCAACTATAGAGGCATAAACCTTGCATGTGTCATAACGCTTCCACGGGCTGCTACAACGCTGGCTCGCCAGACGCCAATTTGAGAGCACCAAGTGCTCGAGTGATCTCAACCAAGCTCATATCCATTTCCCTAAAAATGATTAATGGTTTCATGAAGGAAACTTCTCATAAGGTTGCTAAAAACTCTTCGACGGCCCACGACCTGTTTCGCCCTTCTTGGGGCAGATGAGTGTATTTGTCTACTCGGGGACTGCGCCTACCTGATGAGCCCCAAGAAGGGCAAAACCGTTCGTGGGCTGTCGAAGAGTTTTCAGCAACCATGTGAGTAGTTTGCTTTATGAAAATATACTGCGGTATCTCGAATATCGTGCCAACTGAAGCATGAGACGGCTTGTGTGCAGCACATTCAGTTGTAGAATATCATAAACGAGAGATTCAGTTGAGTCCCTCCTGAAAATCAAATTGATTTGCAAATGATTAGTGTTTATTTCATTTTCCTTCGATTGCGTCGGAATACCCCCGCTGCAGTAAAATAATCGATAACATTCTAACAACTGGTTAATGTTTAATTCTCTGGGTCGTTTCAAGGATGGTTTAGCTGGCCAGTCCCACATTAAAATCCATTCACCGCGACTGGTGATAGAACCAGCAGAAAACGGTCGCTATTTAGGAGTATACCATGAAGACCGTGTTCTATCCTGGGACTCATCCATGTGTTAGGGTGTGGTGTAATTGTGCTCTTTTGATCATCCGTTTATTTGAGCGATTTAGTTGCTAATTTATTCCAGTTTATGCTAACAGAAAGGAGGCAGTTCCTTCTACGTGAGTTCACAACACGGGGTTGATGAGGTCGACAAAATCTGTGATCATTTACGAGTAGTTGGGAGATGCACTTCACAAAGATCTTGCTGTATGTCTCCAAACCGGTCACTTACAACCGCAGGCGTTCCCCATAGTTGTTAATGGGGATCCGTCTTACTTAGTCCTTTGTCAACAGCTATACTACTGAATACGATCAAGGACCAATTCTTGCTTATTTATGTGCCTAGTGACCTTTGCTTTTCTCCGCTCCCAACTGTGTTACCTAACACGCTGTTTCTTTTGCAGAGGTTGATCGGCTCAACCTGGCTACGCCAATGGTCGTGTTGCAAATTTTGTCCGAAACTGATGCGGAACATAGTTGTTTGGTGGGAACCATTCGGGTAAGCTGCGATAACTGTTGCTTATCGGCCCGTACTTTCGTTTAGAATTTGGTAAAACTTCACTGCATCTCATCTCTAACTCTCTCCACCCTCATTCCGGGGACTTTTCGCTCTGATACACAGCTTATCAGCTTGTTTGATTATAGCTACCGGAGGCACTTGAGTACAATTTGTGGAGCTCTGCTAAGCATGGTCTGTCAGCTGCTTACCCACGGGACACTGATATTCCGAAGTTCCACCAGCATCCCACCACCGATCACTTTTTGGAAGGTGAACAGATGTCAGTGTATCTTAACCAATCAAAGTTCTGAAGTAATGGTCTTCCAATTTTGACATGTTTTCTGAAATCGCTTCTCAAAGGGAGCTGCGTCCCTACAAGGGAGCTTTGCTGACCGTGGTGAATTTCAGCGCATTTCTTTAATTCTTATCCTCGTAGCTGAAGCTATATTCGCGTCAGCTTGAGTCATCCTTTTGGCGTGGCACATTATCAGTCGAATAGCTTGACCTTCTCGTTTTATCATTCCACAGGATTATCTGTTGCGTCATCTGGAGGCAGGAGCCAGTCAGATCGCTGCATTGCGTCAAGGAGTACAGAAACTGCGCAGCGAAACAATGAGGAACCGAGAAGTCGTTCGCAGTTTGAATAGCCAGTAAGAACCTGTACACACTGTATTCTGTACCTCTATTCTACCTGTATTCTACCTTGTAGATCGTCAGTTTTGTTTGGTTTAGTAATTGTGTGTGCTATTAGCCTCCTGTTCTCAGTTGTCTCTGGGGTTTATCCCAGGTCCACTGTTAACAAGTTCTTCTGACCACTGCTAAAGGTCGCAGTATGCTGTTATTTATCGAGGTCCACTGTGGATCACCAAAGTTTAAATAGGGTACAACGATTTCCCTTCAAAAGGACACCCATGAAACCGATTCGCTCGAGAAATCCCCCCTGAAGATGAATCGATCTTCTTGTTCACAATTGTGGTCATAGTTGTTTACCACGCAGTTGAATTTTGGCGGCCGTATTGGATGACATTGTTTGTTGCTACAATTGATCGGTCCACTTCCAGGCCGCAATTTGAACCGGTGGACTTGCCTTAACGCATCATCATCATCATCATCGACAGCATGACATCAGTCAGTGCGCCCACACTTAGACAGGAGAACGATTAGAGTCTTCAACTAAAGCCTTTGGTTCAAAAGCCTGACCGCAAGGCAGTGATGTTTGGCGGGTAATGCAAATGCGTAGTCATTTCTACGGAACAAGTCGCCACACATGTTCCAACCCCCAACCTGGAGGGCCGGAAGACTGTATTTGTCAAACCTCTAACCATTGACCAACCTGGTATGAGAGACTCTATGAGTGTCGCGGGGACACCCCCCAGTATAGATCAGTAGATTGCTGAGGTGCGCAAACCGTCACGGCACTGTAAGGTCCAGTCTCTTCGTGACGGTGTTTCAACGTAGAGCACACACGTGACACTGAATGGATGCCTTTGTTTGATATTAAGTCCTTTGCCTGATGATTAGTATTCATGTTCAGCTAGCGATGCTCGCGTTGGTGAGCACCAACGCAGAACAAGTTTGGAGCCTTCAAACCGACGGACGTGAAGTTCAAGTACATTATTATTTAAGCTAGTTTTTTGGGGATTTCCCTTTTTTCACCAGTAGACCGGATCGTGAGATTCTGCATGTCGCCATCCCCTGTTGATCGATGTCTGTTTGGAATTGTACGGTATAACCTCCACGTGCCACACACCAGCATCCCCACTTTTCATCAGTCACGCAAACGATTTCGCCACTGCACCTCTTTATATACCGTCATGCTTCGGAGTTCCATCACGTCACCCAAATCGAGATTCTTCTACAGTGCCCATCTCATAGCTGAGTGTGCGCTATCATTACATCAGTTGTGCCGTAGGAATACGCCTAAATTATTGACGTTCGTAATGCCGCAGTAGCTTCGGTCAGTGGCTATGAATGGGCCTCAGTAGAGCCCAGAGTTGCAACGGTTTTCTCACTCTGTACGCCAGTCGGACAGGTGGGCTAATTACATATCAGTCGGACAGTTTTCGCCTGCTGGTTTAGGGAGGCCTATTGGGCCTTCTGGCTTTATTCCAGCTAGTGGTTCCATCCCAGCGTGCTATTTGACTCAGTGGGGGAGAAGGGTACGAGTACTGACAAGCCGTAGTCACTGTTCATATTCGTTTCCGCGCATCAGTGATTATCGATCAATGCATCGATGTCGGATAATTCTGTGCGTTTCGTGAAATAAACTTGAGTACTGGTGTGTACTTATGTACTCCAGACGGTATTGCAACTCCTTTGGCTACCCACTCATCAATACAGTGTATGTGCGTACTTATGTACTTATGTACTGCTTTGGCTACCCACTCATCAATACGGTGTATGGGAAAGCACAGTCGCTTGAGAAGACCTTCAGTAGAAAACCGCTACGAGTGCATCTATAGGGTTATGCTGGAGTTTTCCGCAAGTTCATGATGAGGCAAGAAGCGCTGAGCTAAAAATACTCGATTCTGATTGGCTCATATCGTGGCCAACCGGTGCATGGTTTCATTTGGTCCGTAGCTCACTCACGATACATCTGCTCGATCGACGTGATGTTCGGTATTTACAGTGGTTTGCCCTTGACCAATGCATCTTGCTTTTCTTTAAGAACATGTGTTTTTATCAACTGCGCAGCTGAGTTTCGAGCGAAGCTCCCAGTGAGTCCGCGCTAGATAGGTATAGCTCAGCAGAACCAGGCTGTTGCTACGTGACACACATCACAAACCTTCACGTTGTTGTCACTTCTAGATGGCCATTTGAAGAGTGAGATTGTGATGCGATATTGGTCACTTTGGAGAATTAAGGCACCAACACATTCCCCTCGTAGGCATCCACCACGTGCTCAGGTTGTTTTTGCTCAGTTGTCTGTTCCGATGCGGGGCTCAGTCCCAAAATGGCATTTGGTAGGAACGCACTGTAGGAAACTCTTCATTCATATAAGGATATATCTCTGAATAGACTTCACAGTACTAGATTCACAGAAGACGGACATGGAATCGAAGTTATTGTGCGAATGAGTCACTAGGTCAGAACGACCCGGAATAATCTCTGTTCGAGTTTGCCGTGTTAGTCCCATGCGCTGGAATTTTGTGACAACTGGACCGTGCTTATGGTATGCCCTAATGTAAAACTGAACATAGCAGGCTCTTTTGCTTCGTCAAACCAAAGATGAATAGGATTGAAGAATATACAAAGACATTCGGTGATTGACGTGACCCAACAGGACACAAAACTCATGAACTAACAGTTACGTGCTTTCAATCTCAATATCTGTGAAGCTAGTTCTGAGGTAAGTGGAAGAAATTGTTAATAGCAAACGTTTCCTACTCATTCTGTGTTTTCCGGATTTCTTTCTTTCGTACAGGCCCTCGATTCCTTAATCTAGTATTTCCGATATTTGCTGCATCTTCCATTTTCAGGGTGAAAATCTTCCAACAACAAAAATGCGTCCTGTGCCACCAAAGCCTTGAACCACCGTCTGTTCATTTCCTCTGTGACCATTCCTATCACAAGATGTAAGTCTCGTCATCGTTGCTACCATTTCGTGTTGACACCGGAGTTCCATGTTTATATACAACACTTGGGAACGCAAATCTCTGGTCCAGGATACGACGAATACCAACTGGTTCTGCATCACTCAGTAGTGTACTTCTTACCAGCGTTGGTAGGTCTAAAGTGGCCCTGTAGATGACTTGAGCTCATTGGCGGTGTTTTGTTGAAAGCTATTAAAATGTGTTTCTTCGAGGAATCAGGCTCTGACTACTGGTCTGGGTTACCAGCATTCCTCTTAACGAAAGACAGCGCTTTCCCTGGATGGCATGTAAGGCTATCTGGAACATCTGGTTTCACTCATTCGCGCTCCAACTCAAACTAATAAATGAGACACTTAGCTCGATGGTTCTCGTTTTCTTATTCTCTCATTCGGTTTGGAAAAGAGAAGCGTTGTCCGATACTGATAGTGACGAGTTTCTCTGTTTGTAGAACGGAACACGCTACAATGCGACAGTCTGGAAAAGAAGTTGCTAACTCGGGCGAATATTTCTTGTCAGGCCGCGCTATCTCATTGTTTTGTTTGTTCCTACTCCCCTTCAACCGATTTGCGTTTCTATTCACTCTTTTTACTCTTTTAGGTGCTTCGAAAACTACGCTTCGAACGAACAGTCTTGTCCAGAGTGTGCCCCGAAGAACAAGTAGGTGCTAATGCTTCCAGTGTGCTAGTTCACACCGCATTGACTAACGTGGGGCTATTCCTTTTCCGGATCTTGTGAACAAGCACATCTACCCGACTGATCACTATCCCATCCCCGTCGCCAGTTGTTGTGTCTTGCTGAACGGTAGTGCAACTCTGAGTCGGTCCCTTGGCCTCCTGCTCCGCCCACTATGGTATATCAAAAGGCACGGTAGCTCTACACAGCCCCTTACGGAGACAAAGGAAAATTATCATAATCACAGAGTGTTCCACAAGGTCGTGCCAGAATGTCCGTGAGGGGGCGAGAAGCGTCGAGTCAAGGGTGCTTGACTCGGATTGGCTGGTATTCCGACCAATCAGGACATGCCTTCGTTCGGGCTAGAAGTGCGTTCCTAACAGATACTGTAACTAAAAACATTGGTCTAAGAGTCGAACCTTTGTTTGACTCTCTAGGAGGCACGACCAGCCGTTGGGACTGGTCAAGTTTCCTCATACATAAGCATCAAATAGGTTGAATATCTAGGGATCTACGTTGAGTGACACAAAAATCAGGAGATCCAACCATGAGGTGGTGGTCAAAATATTATATTCATCCAATAAGGGTGGGATTTGAAGTACAATGATACATGTACATACCTAAAATCGTCCAGCTGTAGCACCCTTTCGGTGTCTGACTGCCATGCCACACGAAGAAGACACGAGGGCTGGGATATTGCCAGGTCGCCCAAGCCTAGACAGGGGAAGTCGAGTAGCAGAGGTAGGGTTCGAACCACGGACCTTCCGGTCAGC